TGTGACATGTGTTCTTTTCGGCTCATTAAAGATTAATCTTGCATGGCATTTTGGATGAATTGTAGAGGGTTTGATAGAAGTGGCTGGAAGACCTGCCAAGAGAGCATTGCAATAGTCCAGCCTGGATAGAACAAGAGCTTGAACAAGGAGTTGTGTTGCATGCTCTGAACGAAAGGGCCTGATCCTCCTAATGTTGTATAAAGAAAATCTGCAGGACTGGGCAGTTTTAACAACTCCAAGGTTTCTAGCTGTTTTTGAAGGAGTTATGGTTGATGAGCCTAACTGGATGGTGAAATTTTGATAAAGTGATGGGTTTGTTGAAACCACAAGCAGTTCTGCCTTAGCCAGGTTTAGTTGAAGGTGATGGTCCGTCATCCAACAAGAAATGTCTGTTAGACATGCTGAGATGCGAGCAGCTATCGTCGGATCATCAGGATGGAATGAGAGGTAGAGTTGAGTGTCATCAGCATAGCAGTGATATGAAAAGCCATGTTTCTGAATGACAGAACCTAGTGATGCCATGTAGACAGAGAAGAGAAGTGGTCCAAGAACTGAGCCCTAAGGCACGCCAGTAGCTAGATGTTGCGACTTGGACACCTCACCTCTCCAAGATATCTTGAAGGACCTACCTGAAAGGTAAGACTCAAACCACTGGCGTGTGGTTCCTGAGATGCCATTTTCCAATAGGGTTGACAAGAAAATCTGGTGGTTCACCGTATCAAAAGCAACGGACAGATCCAGCAAGATAAGTATAGAAGATTTGGAAGCCACTCTTGCCAGTCTTAGGGCTTTAACAAATGAGAGCAAGGCAGTCTCGGTCGAATGTACACTTCTGAAGCCAGATTGGTTGCTGTCCAGGAGGTTGTTGTCTGATCATGTAACATATATTATATAATTATAAGAAATAAAGGTAGATTCTTAAGGTAGATTCAGCTGGTGAAGCACTTTATAGGTTTTTATGAAAGCTTTTATTGAATAAGATTTATTCAATTGTGAAGTACCACAAAAGCATTTCACTGTCATGCTGCCAACCTTTCAGTGAGCAGTTGCACCACTTATGAACATAAGTGTACAGCTTGCAGTAATCCCCCATATATA